AGAGCAACAAAATAGAGTAAACTAAAAATCCCTTTTCTGCCACGAAATGGCCAAGAAGTAAACTTGTCATGGGTGTAGTATGAGGTTAAGTTGAGAAACATTAATGGCATGCACATGAACTTATAACTCAATTGTTAAAAGTACAAGTTCTCTATTTTTTGAGGAATGGGTTCAAATCCACTTCCTATTGAAAAATTAATACAGCACTTGAAATGAGTAAAGTGGGAAAGGAGAAGTGTAGGTACTGGGAAGCCCATTCATGTATTTTCTTCTTGACATAAGAGACACAGCTACGTATGCTCTCCGACATAAGAGATTGATGATCTTTCAACTGTTGGAATTTGAAGAGAAAGAAATGCAATGCAAGTTGCCTGTTTCTTCTGTAGAGCGAAATGAGCCTTGGCACCGCTATTATATGAGTATGGAAAACCTAGGAAAATCCGAAAATGTTAGTCAAGTACTCAAGCTGAAAAGTTTAATTGCATATTTGAAAAAGGGTTTGAAGTATTCTCAGCTGAAGTTTGGTTTGAAGTATTCTCAGCTAGAGTTTAGTGTTTGATGAATAAGGGAAGTAGCAGCAACATCTGTAATATGTTACAAGCTAGGATTAAAAAATTCAAAATCAATTATTTTTGTCCTTAAATAATTTACATTCCATAGAAAACTACAGAATTTTGAATATGACCTTAACCTCAAACAAAACCCCTTTATTTCAACAGGACTAGTAAGCAATATAGTTATCCATTTTTAGAGACTGGTGCTAACTTCCTCAAAAATTGTGGTATGGTTGTTGGGAGTTTTCTGCTGCAAGAATTCATATGATCAGTTTTCTTTCCTTCATCTTTGATTATTTCATTCAAAGAGGGTAGCTTTCTGTTTGCTCCTTCCGATGATCTTAGTTAATTTTTTGTTATGGGTCTGTCAATTAATTGTTTTTTCCCTTTGCATTGGCATAAGATTGTAAACGAGATAGAGTTTTTGTAATGGTTATATCTCTTTTTATTTTCATATATTAAATTCTTTTGCCAATGAAAAATAAAAATCAACAATTATTTTGGCACACGTTTTCTTGATTTCTTCTTAATTTTTCTTGGTTTGCAAGAATGTTAAAGAAAATATATAAATAAGATTTGGTAATTTTCCACAAGAGAAAAGAAGAGAGATGAGAAGAAAATGAATGAACTTTCAAGCTTATAAAACTATATTCATTCATTAAAAGGTCAATGTATGATGAATCAGTCAACATTTGCTTATACTTAACCCAATTGTGGCAATATGAAAACCCAAGAATTTCAAGTTAAAAAACCG